ATCCACAATTTCTTATTTATAATGATATATCAATTTCTAATTTATTATCTATTTATTATTGAATCTGTAACGAAGACGAATATTCGAGAAAACGCCCAATTCTATATTTTATATGATTCTGTATCGATGATCTCTAATACCGATTATGACATGACTTCAATTAATAACTTTATTTAGATTTACGATAACAACTCCGTGTAAATTTCAGGAATATCGAAATTCGACTATAGTTACTGATTATATCGACATTGCATTTCAAATATGTTATCGATAATTTAGGCTAAACAAACTTTTACAATATAAAAACTTAATATTAATCGTATGATACACGATAAATATAAATATAAGTTAAAGTGAGAAGATTGACAGCCAGATCTCATCTTTAGTTCATATTTGTATAAGTAATGTTTGTGATATGAAAATTTAAAGAAAATATTAATGCATTATACGATAAATGTGAATCAAACTGGGAAGATAGTCAAATTTCATCTTTCGTATGTATGATCTATGCTTTTTATGTCATAAAAACTTAAAAAAATATTAATACATTACATGATAAATATAAATTAAAATGAGAAGATTGACAGTCAAATCTCATCTTTGGTACATAGCATTATTCTCGTTTGGATATTAGATGATTAATGATCTTTGCGACTCGATTCAGAACAAACGAGAAACATGACGGTGCGGTTGCATGGTCAGGCGCATATCAATGAAACTCACAAGAAATATGATACATAATAATAGACAAACGAAATACGGAACGCGAAGTACCGAAAATAATGCAAAATATAAAAAGACAGACGCGAATCCATAATTACTAAAATTTTGATTTTGACATGTTTGTATTATAGCAAGTGAAAAACAGGCTCTAAGTTAGTAACAATGAAATTTAAAATTCAACACAGGCGATTGATTTTGACGCGATCTGTAGCAAAGAGTCCACGTGATATGTCGTACTTCTTCCTGGTCACTCGTAAATAACGTAGCTGTAGTTTGCTAGATAGGGCAATAGCGAAGTTGAGCGAAACGTCGATTCAATTCTTCAAACGGAGATTTCTTTCCCTGCCGGTTGAAATTTATGCTCTCAATAAACGCCAGCACGTCCGATATGATCGCGGTTTTAAATAGCCCAGAAAAAAGATACATTTTTATAAATTTTTTTTAAATGGAGAAACAAAAATTAAAGGTAAACTTTAGTTTTTACTATTTTGCTACTTATCATGCACTGTTAAACTCATATAATGTCAAATTATATCTAATTTAAATTATTTCTACTCAATGTATTGTTAGTTTAACTAAAATATGGAATTAAATAATTTAAGTCAAAAAAATTTATTAAATTTAATTCAAGCTCAGTTTATTATTTATTGTAAGTATATTTTAGTATGGGCGTTATTTATTTTGAAACTAATTACAGAAATGGATTGATTTACATTTTGACACACATGTAAGTTAAAAATAACAAAATGTCATTCAACTTAAGGGATTGGATCATCAGTGTTTCTTTGATATTTAACATGTGGAACATAGTTTTTATTCTTATTCTTAAATTACATTAAATCTTATGTTTACTTTTCCAAATATTTGTTGAAAACTTGTGTTAGTGTCCGTAACGTATTGAGCTCAGGGTTCGTTAACCCTAAGTAACTGTACAGATCAATCATCCTTGCAAGAAAAATCGTAACAAGACACTGAAAAAGATCCATCCCGACACAGTCTGTTTTTCATTCCTACATTAGACTGTATTGGAACTTTCTTTCTTGCATTCGAACAAAACTATTTCACTTTAAGTTCTAGAAGTGTATAAAACATATCTACTTGAACTATTTTCTTCTCAAATAAAGTTAAGGTACGTAAAATGATTAAACTGAATATTTCAATTCAATCGATTAAGATTTATTTAGAATTTAGAATTTAATTAGAATTAGAAATATAACGTTTTCTTGTTAATTCTATAAAAAGTGTCATTTCACATGTGATGAATTAGAAATATTCCAACTTAAAAAAGTTCTCACGATCCGACTCGCGTTTCTCGAATGTGCGGTTTCGAAAACCAGAAATTTCAAACACGTGTTACACTGTCTGTCCACTAAATACATTCACTGTTATATAATTAAATATTCGTCCATCGAATTACAAATTACATGCCGATGCGGATATTTACTTTTCTCGTAGCTGTCGTGTTCCTAAAACGAATAATTTCGCCGATGACTAAACGAACAATCGATAATTAAAACTGACCCATTATCAGTAAGATCGTGTTATAATGAAGATGAACCAGCAATATTTGGATTAATATTGCTTTATTAATATTTCCGCAAGTTTTTATAATATAGATTATTATCATTGATTTATTATATTATTTTCTTATTTTTATTAATAAAATTAAATCTTATTTAATTTATTCAATTTTCGAAATCTTTTATTGTTTTGAAATAATTCAAGGTTAACTTTTTCTTAATAAATACATGAGATATTAATGACATTTAAATTATAAAAAATAGATAACAAAAACGAAGAGAAGGTAAATGATAATTTAAACATCATTATTTTTTTATCTTGATTGTTATTCATAATTATTTCGAATCTCCGCGTTGTACCATTGACAATCATTCTTGAGTCCAATTATTCCGGGCTCAATTCCTGGATGTATCATCTTGTATGCATTCTACTATAGCCGGAAATGCAAATACCGCTGGCGCGATAAATCCCAGACTCTACGCGCGTGTGATCGTTACAAGCTGAAATTTCAATTTGTTTTTCCCTCTCCTCGACTCGTTTCATGCTGGTAGTATACTCACCAAGCGCCAACTTCTCTGGCTTCTTTTTGTTTTGTAAATCGCATGCTTAGCAAATCGAGCTGCCTGGACCGAAACGAACTAAATTAAGCTCCAGTATCATTGAAAAAACCAAACGAGATGTTATCTCTATTATGATACTATCCAAATAGTACATTTAATAAATTCTCGGATATATTCAAGAAATTTATATTCGATGCATATTGTTAAGTAAACGACAGCATATACCTGTACACAATTCAATACAAATACATTTCTTGTAGAGAACAAAGTAGTAAACAAAGCAATATCTTTCGTATTAAAACTACCATGTTATACACAGGAAATGCCAATAATTATTTATGTGTTTTTATAAAAGCACATTAAATAAATTATTATAAAACATTGTAAATTATAAATTATTGGTTTGTTATCTACAATTATACATTTTGCATTTATTATTATTTCCCTCATTCAAATTATGAGCGAGATTATCGGTTGTTGCGGATTTATAATGTGAGCTTATGATTCACAATTTCCTTTACACAGAGATATCCAATCTGCCATTAATACAGAAAATCGAAATGCGATATAAACACAAAGCATTAACCTAACTGGCAGCTCGTAAATCCAAGTGGCCAATAATTGTGTAGTTCAATAACTGTACGGTTTATTCTGTTATATGTAACAAAACATTCTACAATAAATAATATAATTAAAAGGAGACGAATTAAAAGGAGGAGATATAAAAATAATGGATAGCAAGTCTGATATAATTAATCCTCACACACAC